TTTTTATGTGATCTATAATTTTTTTCTTTCCAGATGATAAATTATATAAAAACTGTCCGAATGTTCTTTTTTCCGAGTGCTTTTGGCTATGCATTTCACCGTTTTCATGGTTGAAATATATTAACTGTTAACAAGAAATAGTTTGTTGCATGTATGTATTTATATAATGTTTTCATTTTCAAAACACGGTCAAGATATTGTGTCCATGTTCATAGTTGATAATATTAAGTGTTGTTTTTTTTTCGTTTTTATTAATAAGGCTTTCATTATTTTTAGCCTTTTTTTTTGCATGTAGATGATGCTATTATATTTATGTTGTCAACTATTATGTTACGAGAAGGTCTTGATACAGTAAAGTTTTATTAGTGCCTTAAATTGAATAGATATCAACATCTTAATACTAAAAAAGTAGGTACATCTGAGGAACCTTTCGGTTAACCCTTAATTGTTGGGAAATTAATAATTATATATTAGGACGGGAAAAATGAAGAACAATTTTCATTCTCTTTGGGACTAAATGAGAGAACAAAACTGGCACACGATTGAAATATAAAATCGTAACAATCAACTTTGGTGAATCAATTCAATTTGTAAAGACAAAAATAAATAAAATTCATTCTTTACAAATATAATTTCCACACTTTTTAGTATTATGATAATATATATATATATATATATATATATATATATATATATATATATATATGCCAAGAATTGGTGTATACGGATTCAATTACAATAACCAACAAATACTATTCTTAAAAGAGTGCTCAATTCAGAGTAGAGCAAATATAATTATTTATTCGAAAATTATAACATAAAAATGTTATAAAATCATTACAAATATAGCCATTTTGTTTCAATTCATCTGGCGTCTTATCAAGTGATGGTGTTGAATGTAGAATAAAGGATTCAACTCAATCAAACACTCCTCGCTAGGGGAAACGCTGTTACATAAGCTGGAATGACCAATCAAAATACAAGTATATGGGAATTCAAAAGTTTCAACACTATCACTTGAGAAGAGACCAGAAGTATTGAAACAAAATGGCTATTTTTGTTGTGATTTTATAACATATTTATGTTATAATTTTCGAATAAATAATTATATATATATATATATATATATATATAATAAAAAAAGAAGTTTTATTATATTTTACTCTGTCCTTGACATTGATTTCTACCTGGATTCTATCCTCTTGGAATTTTTTTATTAAAAAAATATATATGTATGTGTATGCATGTATGTATATATATATGTTGCATATGTATGTGTATATTTACCACTAATATTATATATATTTACCACTAATATATATATATATATATATATATATATATATATATATATATATATAAAAGTAAGGTAAAAAATCGTTGGTATATAATATAAAGTGGATCCTGGTAATATGAAAATATTAGAACTGATCCCCAAAAAGAGCTTGATGTATTTTATTTAATTTATACAAACCAATTTAATTAATAATGAAACAAATCCTTTTACCTCATATGGGGAATAGACTATATGGGGTAAAAGGATTTGTTTCATTATTAATTAAATATATATATATATATATATATATATATATATATATATATATTTTCAAACTATCTCTCTCTCTGTCTCTCTCTCTCTCTCTCTCTATATATATATATAGATAGATAGATATATATATAGATATAGATATATGAAGAAATATAGTCTTAAGGTGTGCTATATTTATGGGATAAAGTGCTCAATATCAGAGATAGAGATTGTGTAAATATAAACGTGAACATAGAAGTCAACACTTAGAGGCGACAGTCTGTTTCATGCTAGATGCAATCGTCAGGCCACAATTCCATCTAGCATGAAGCAGACTGTCGCCTCTATGTTGACTTTATGTTCATTTATATATATATATATATATATATATATATATATATATATATATATATATATATATATATATATTTTTTTTTTATTATTATTATTATAAATGATATTTTGTGGGGCTACACGTGTTATATCCCTGCTTTCTTTTATTATGGCAGATTAATAAAAACCGAACTAAATTAAGAAGTCCTCAACCTGGGCCGGTTCTTATTAAATTCAAACGGGATAACAACTCAAACAAGTGTACCTCAAACAAATAACGCTATAGTAATAAAAAATAATATCGGATACAAAATTTTTTAAAATATCATATATATATATATCCTGACAAGTTGACGGAGCGAATATTGGAGCGTCTGTCTACGAAACTCTAGAGTCGAGATGCTGAAAATAACATCAATTAGATGTGTGTGTGTGGGGGTGCGAATATATATATATATATATATATATATATATAATATATATATACATATATATACATAATATATATATATATATATATTGAAATGGATAAAGTCCGACAATATATATATATATATATTGATGCATGTTTCATTAAATAATATAGACAAGTTTTGTCTGTTTATTTTATGTAAATTCTTATCATATCGTCTGATAAGCTTAATAACATTATCATTAATACTTCTCGTTTTCATTAGCGCAGGGTCATGTGTGACGTCATGAGCTGCGGTGCGATTTTAGCTTCCAGCGTCTCGTTTGCACGAGTTTGTCGTTACTTGCGAATCTTCTACGCAAACAAAAACAGGCTATCCTTATTGTTTTGTCCTTGTATTGTTTAATATATTGCAATGTAATTGCCATCTTTGATAATGGCTTATGTAAGCCGAAAGATTAGATAGAATTAAAAAATATGTATCAATATGGTGATTTCCTTTCGTCTTTTAATGATAATGAAGTGAAATCGGAATTTTTTTCAGACACACCTTTATTTCTGTTCATCATGTTTAATATTGTTATACCTGAACGTACCTATTCTATTATTAATAGACTCTCCCACACATAATAAGTAGTAGTAGTAGTAGCGGTCGTCAGTTGGGCTCAGTGGAGTTGAGTGAGTCAGTCGATGTCGGACATTGAAGTATCAACCATCACAACTAGATTGCTGCGTCATTAACTCTTATTTCAAGTTCCTAACGTTTTGTACGTCGGACCCTTTTAGGACCGACTTAGCGAAATACAAGCCTCCACTGTACAAACTACTATGCAACAAATATGTGTTGGAATTATATAAACTTCAAATTTTGTTTATATTTTTATAATTTTTGTAAATATTATTGTCTAATTTTATTTTTATTCCTTAAAAGGGTTTATCGCCAAAAGACCAATAGTTTAGCTGAGCTTAAAGAACGTATTCAGTTTGCATTTTCAGGAGAAGATAACCCTTGAAATGCTTCAAAATCTGTTTCGCGACACCAAAGATAAATTTAAAATTTGCAGAGAAGCAGACGGAGCACACGCTGAAATTTTTCAATAAAGTTTTCATGTCAGATTAATAAATCTGTTTGTTTTCTATCATAATTAACTAAGAAACATAAAATTGTGTCATTTTTTTAAACATTAACTAATTTCATTGAAATAATTTATTGTGCATATCTAAAATTGCTATATATATATATATATATATATATATATATATATATATATATATCCACACATATATACATATATATATATATATATTATACGTATAATTACTATATATATATATATATTATATGTATAATTATATATATATATATATATATATATGATAAAATATAGTTTTAAGGGTTATAGTATATTTACGTGTTAAAGCGCTCAATATCAGGTGTAGAGCGTATTTAAATATAAAAGCGGACATTGTACTCAAAAACCCAGAAGCGACAGTCTGTTTGACGCTTAACCTAACTGTCATGCCATGATATATATATATATATATATATATATATATATATATATATATATATATCCTTGCTAGATTAGATAATCGTTATGTTTGTTTTTTTTATATGTGTATATTTGATTTGTAACCTGTAGTCGATATTACTTTTGTCAAATTTTCTTGATTACACAGCGGCCCTTTCAGGAAATGTCCTTCATTTTTAGTTCCCCCCTCCCCATCACTCTCCCACACCCCTTTTTCTTTTCTTTTCCTCTCCCTCTCTCATGTTCTTTTCCTCTCCCTCTCTCATGTCCTTTTCTTCTCCCTCTCTCATGTTCTTTTCCTCTCCCTCTCTTATTTTCTGATCTTTAAGATTAAATCGTCTATTGTGTGTGTATGTCACCACAAAATGTATCTTTTCCGGTATATCTTTAATGTATTTTAGACATCCGAGAATATTCATATTTCTCTCAATTAAACCGTCTTTGACACCCCTCTTTAAAGATTATCTCTGTTAAATTTTAATCCCCCCTTCATCTTTAGACCTTCCTGTTCTTCTCTCGTCTGTTACCCCACTCTATAGCTTTCATTTACTCTAACATTCGTCCCACACTCTCATACAAACACTCTCACTAAATTTTATTTTTTATTCCCGGAGTTGTTTTTTCTGTTTTCTTTTTGAATTTGTAGGTCTGATGAATTGGATCGTATTTATGATTCCAATGGAATAAATTATGACCATGGAATATTAGTGTTTAAGCCTTTTATTATATTCTTACTCTGTCCTGGACATTAAGTTCTACCTGGATTCTATCGTCTTGGATTTATTTTTTATACAAATATATATGTATGTATGTATGTATGTATGTATGTATATATATATATTTTTAGATATATGATTGCATAGGTATGTGTATATTTACCACTAATATTATATATATGTATATATATATATATATATATATATATATATATATAGATAGATAGATAGATAGATAGATAGATAGATAGATAGAGTGAGATTATTATAATAATGTTTTTTTTAAATATATATATATATATATAAATATATATATATATATATATATATAGTGTGTGTGTGTGTGTGCGCGCGTGTGTGTTAATTTAATCATGATAATAATAATGTTTTTGCTGTACCATAAATTTATGAAATAAGCACGTCTACTTTTGCTATTTTCTACAAAGTATTAAAGTAAAAAAGAAAAATCTTTCCCCCTTTTACTCAGCATACGGTGGGGGAGGTGCTGATGGCGTCTGTGGATGTGTCCTGTGATTAGATGATGCCAGCCCCGCTTGACTGTCCCAAGTATATAACGGCTGGTGGGTGGCTAGCAGTTGGTGTTGGTTTTGATAGGGTACAGTCCGGTAGATAGCGTTCCCATTGGCCGCATAGTATTCATCCAGAATCCGATAGTTCTCCGCGCCGTCGACCTGATGAAGCAGCACAATTTGTCCCATGGAGTTCCGAGCGAGCATAGGCATAACTATCCGTGTTCTTTCAGGTGTAGGGCCAGTCTGGGACCCGACGCACGTGTCTTGCCCACTCCTCGATCTTGACCGTCGTAGGGATCTCCATGACGATGATGAAGATTCGGGGGGTCGGTCAGTTAAGATTGTGGCCTCTACTGCCTCGTCCTCGTCTTCCTTTTTACAAATCAGGCAGGTACAGATCTCGTAGACCAGGAAAATAAATATCAGCAGAATGCAAGCTGAAATGATCGGGAAAACCAAATCCATGTAAGACATTGTTGGGTTATCCTATAAGAGAAAAAAATAGAAAGGAAAACATTAATTAAGCTTTTGTACCCATTTGAGAATTGTGGTTCACGATTGTTTTTTAATACAGAACATCCAATTTCAAAAGTAACAATTTAACCTAAATAAAAAAGAATTATGAAAAAAAAATGAACAAAAGATATCATTGGTTTGGTTTGGTTTGTTTTTTTTTTTTTACGGCATATGAAGCTCAATGGGTTATTTAATGCCAACAAGATTTTATTGCTGGTAATATTTTTGTTAAAAAATATATTGCTGGTAATAATATTCCACAAAAAATTTATTGAAACCTATTTTAAAAACTCTCCCTTGCAAATGTACGTTTTTTATTTTATTTATTTATTTATTTAAATTTTGTTTATATTTCTCCCGGGACAAAATATACACTAAATATTTACTCTGTTCAGCTCAGTTTGTAGAATTAATAGAAGATAATTTCTGAAAACTCTCCGAGGCAAATATACTTGAGTGACGTTGATAGCTTTGAACGCAGTGGACCAGACCAGAGTCTCCATTACTTCAGCGGAGTTGGACACCTCGGAGTGGTGTAATGGTTAGCAAGCTTGTCTCGTAAAAAAAGTTACGACTGAGTAGTGAGTTCAATTCTCACTGGGTGCCTCATACTTTCGGCCATGTTCCACATCTAAGCCGCTCTTAGAAAATCAATATTTCAGCACAATTTACGATAGACTCGTCAAGATGAAGGACGATGGGACCCCGCCACCCCAAGCAGTATTTCTACGATGAATTGTCAGAGTAAAGGAGAGCAGTGTACAAACCGTCGTGAAGTTATAAGATTTGGCCGATCAAATGCAAAATGACTGGGTAAATATCGCCCTAGATCGTTCAACCCGGAGGAATTCAAGGCAAAATGGTAAGAAAAATTTTGAAAAGAATTGCGATTCGTAATTTGGTTTGTTTTATGGCATATCAACGCCTCAATGAGTTATTTAATGCCGAGAAGATTTTTAATGCTGCCAATATTTTATTTCAAAAATGTATTGCTGACAATAATGTATTGCTGCTAATATTTTTTTCCAAAACTGTACTGCTGCTAATATTACTTTTTTTTCAAAAATGTATTGCTAGTAATATTTTTTTCCTTCTGGTAATTATTTTTTGTTCAAACATTAATTGCTAATAATAGTTTTACAAAGGTATATTGCTGTATTAAAACCTATTTTAACACTTTCATAGTGTTTAGACCCCAGTTTGGGGGTTAACTATTTGCCCATAGTTGGGACCCTAACAGATGCTACCACCCCGGGTCAGGGCGGACCTGGGAACACCAGCAGTTAAGAAGTGGTTCCACAGTTCACAAAACATCCTGATCAGAGGCCTTGCTGTTGGATTTGTTTAACATCTTACCGGGGACGCAGATAACATCAGGAAACAAGAAAACGTATAATCGACTATTAACAAAATAGGATGATCTTGGCACACACGTATTTATTATATATATATATATATATATATATATATATATATATATATATATATATATATATATATATATATAGCGAGAGAGAGAGAGAGGGAGGAGAGATTTGAAAACCCAGGAAAGCATTCTTCTTTTTAGGATCCTCTTCACCAATACTTTGTTAGGGAGATATATTGGTAAATATTAAATTGACCAAATAATAATTCGCATTACAAAAAAAGTAAATAAAAGGAGAAAATCGGGCCACGATTAGATTATAAATTTACTAATATATATATATATATATATATATATATATATATATATATATATATATATATATATATATATATATATATATATATATACTCTCCTCCGTCGAGATTCGACGTATGAGGGTCAAGCAGATCAGTTTCCAGGAAATCGACAGCCCGACACCGGCACATGAGATTTGATTATAGTGGTGAAGGCTTCGTGCAGGACCATCCACACTTTTTGAATGGACGAATACAGAGACCTGGTGCACCGAATGCCACAAGGTTCCCAAACGACCCTCCGCAGTTTTTAAATTCAGAGTTTTCCTTCTCCTAGACCAGTTGCCATCCAAGGCTATAGAACCCAGTCTGTCCTGCTATTTTACCCATAGCTGGAGGGAGAGGAAGAGAATTCATACCTTTCCCAAGGGTATTAATACGTAAGTGAATGTAATGGATTCGACTTGAATTCGAACTCGGCTCTGACAAAAGAGCCAATTGTAAAGGGTTCCTAGTGAGTACAAAATGGAGAAAAATTCCCTCACAACCCTCCCCAAAAGAAAGCGAACAAAATGCTCTTTCTCTCTGTACCGAGACGGTTGATGTAATTTAATAAAATCCACTTCGGATATGCGTAAATGCCGAGCGTACTGAGCTCTGCACAGGACAGTAAATGAATCAGTTTTCTTGACGCACACTTCAGATAATCTAGCAAATGGTGAACAATGGCCGAGTCATGAACAGTAGCGGGTACAAAAAGTTCTACAATTAAAAATACCCTTTTTTCTATTGACAGGAACATGTTGTCCGGTCCGGGTTTCGAGTCGCCTTTTTTCTCCTCCTCCTCCTCCTTATATTTTTTTTATTTTAAATATATGAATGATATGATCCCTGTTTATAAATTCCAGTTGCATAAGATCTCATATCATTCATATACAGGTTCGGGGTTGGTGTATCTTATTCATATAGTTTGCGACGATGTATTCTCGCCATTTAAATCATTAACTTCTATATTTGTTTTTTGTATGAATGATTCATGAATTTATAATATATATATATATATATATATATATATATATATATAGAGAGAGAGAGAGAGAGAGAGGATAATCCGTCGGTACATAATCCAAGTAAATCCTATTAATACAATATAAAATATAAAATATTAAAACTGATTCACACCAAAAGTTCAATGTTTGAATTAAACAGCGCAACATTTATCCAATAGGAATTAAGATTACATTGGGTTAATGGTCATTTACACCTTGTAAATTGAAATAAAATTTACAAGGATTTTTCAAACCAGTCAATAGATGATAAATTATTGAAATAAAACTGACCAAGGAAACAAGGGAAGAAAACTGAAAAAGAAGAAAAAAAATGAAAAGAAAGAAAAAGAGAAAAGAAACAAAAGAAAAAAGGAAAAAGAAAAGAAGGAAAGAAAAATGGAAAAACTTTTCCATTTTTCTTTTTTACACGCACATATATATTTGAACGTACATATACAGATAGGTATTTAATACAAGTCTGTCTATATTTCTGAGATGAGGTATTATGTACAGTATTTACATTAGTCGGACTATTGTCCTCATCTTTGTCGCCATATTTGTCACAACGTTTCGGCCGTTATACGCTCCGGCCTTCTTCAGATGGTTGGAATTTCGAACAGAACCTTTTATTTCGAGTAGACTGTTTTAGTTCCACGTGCCATGTTTGATGGATGTCAGTTATCAGTTATCTCCTGCTAATTTTCCCTCTGAAAGTTCTCCACTGCCTTAACCACGTATTGAACTCACCTTCTTTGGGTCTGTCACTTGATCTAACCAACGCCTTTATCCACTGTGCCATGTGTCCTTGAGGATTCATTGTATGAACTTCTGAGTATTATAAACCTAATGTTTTCAGCATCATTTTTACCAGTGCTCATATTGCAATTTTGCTGTTATCATTGCATGTCTTTACCAGAGTTCATATTGCAACATTGTTATCATTGCTTTTCTCTGGCACTCCTTATTACTTAATAGGTATTTAATTTACGGTCAAAACAAAACAGTGTAGTTAAACAGAACTATAAAGTATATAATAATAAATACATTTATACCTACGTTTATAGTGTATGTGTATTTATTGACGCGCACACACACACACATATATATATATATATATATATATATATTCCATTTAAGCGACTTAAATTATAATATATAAATAAATAGTATATATATATATATATATATATATATATATATATATATATATATATATATATATATATATATATAGGAGACTTAGATTTGAACAGTATATGTAGCCAGAAAGAGTTAGTCTGACAGCTAATGCTAAAGTTATCTCCCTTTATTCTTGGCAAAGGAATATTTTTAATGGATTGATGAAAAGTATTAAGAATAGTGAATAATGAGAAAATGTGAAAGAAATGAAACATTATGAAAAGATGAATTCGATGGGAGGCCAGTTTGGGAAATGCAATAAAGCAAACAAGGAAATGAACAGACCAAATGAGAACGAAAAATCGAAAGTGGAAAGCAAGCGAAAAATGAAGATCATTGTGGCGTCTGAGTCGAGAGAATTTCTAAAGGGCTTTGAAAAGAAAGAAGCATATCAGGAACATCAAATGTGTGGAAATGGTAAATGGTAAATCTATGAAAAATCGGACAATTAATACAAAGAAATAAAAAAGGACAAAAAGATGGAAAGGTTGGAGGAAAAACAAATTAAATTAAAAAAAAAAAACAAACTATGAGAGAAAGATAAGGCCATCTAAATAAAAAGAAAGATAGAAGACAAGAAAGAATGAAAGTTTGTCAAATCAAAATAAAATATAAAATCAGAAAGACGGAAATTTGACCAAAGTAAAAATAGGAAGGAAAAAACAAAACTGAGAAAATCTAAGTTAAAGGATAGAAAAAAAGAAGGAAAGCTGATCAAATCTATATAAAACTAAATGCCGAATTAAAAAGAAAGAAAGTTAGAAAGAAAGCTTATTAAATATGAAGAAAAGAAGAAAAGCTTATCCAATTTATATAAAGAAAGAAACAAAAAAGAAAGAAAGAAATGGAATGAATGAATCAAAGAATGAATGTTAAACAAATCTACATACAAAAAAGCAGGATAGATGAAAAGACGGAAAGCTGATGAAATTTAAAGAAAGAAAGAAGGAAAGAAACAAACAAGCAAACAAATAAACAAAAAAGAAAGAAAGAAAGCATTAGGAAGAAAGAAAGAAAAAAAGAACGAAGGAATAAGAAAGAAAGAAATAAAGAAAGAGAGAGTAAGAAAATGAAAGAAAGAAAAATGAGAAAGAAAAAATAAAGAAAGAGAGAATAAGAAAAAAGAGCGTAAGAAAGAAGAGAAGATATAGGTGAAAGAAAGAGATAGTTGAAAGAAAGAAAAAAGAAAGAAAGAAAGAAAGAAAGATAGAAATGGATGTAAGAAAGAAAGAAAGAAAGAAAGAAAGAAAAAAGAAAGAAAGAAAGAGAGATGGGTGAAAGAAAGGGTAAATAAAACTTATGACATTGGAAAAAATAAAGAGTTCAAAAAAATGAATGAATGATTAAAATTGATTACAATATAAAGAAATGAAAAGAAAGAAAAAAGAAAGAAAAATAAAATGAACTAATGAAAGAAATTTGATGACAATAGAAAGAAAGCGAGTAAAATGAAGAAAAAGTGAATGTTGATTGCATTGAAAAAGAAAGAAAAGAAAGAATATAAAAGGAGGAATGAAAAAGATAATTTAATGACATGAAAGAAACAATTTAAAAAGAAGGAATGAATAAATTTGGAAGGAAGGAATGAAGTTGTTTAAATTTAAATAAGATCTAGAAAGAAAAAAAGAAAGAAGGTTGGTTAGAATAAATAGAAAGAAAAGATGTTCAGCCTAAATAGAAAAACGAAGGAAAAAAGTCGAAACCATCTTTAAAGAAAGAAAAAAGAAATGAATGAACGAATGAATGAAAGTTAGTCAAATCTAAATAAAAGAAAAGGGTGGATAGGTAGAAAGGCGGAAAGCTGATGAAATTAAAGAAACAAAGAAAAAGAACGAAAAATAGAGATTAAGAAAAAAGAGAGTAAGAGAAAGAAAGAAAGAAAGAAAGAAAGAAAGAAAGAAAGTCAATTAAATTTAAAGGTGTAGAAAGGAAAAAAAGAGGGAGGTTTGCCTAAATAGAAAGAAAAAAGGAAAAAAATTGAACTTATCTATATAAAGAAAGGAAAAGAGAATGAAATTTTGTCAAATCTAAATAGAAAAAAAATTAAAGTTAGAAAGACAGAAAGCTGATCAAATAGAAAGAAAGAAAGAAAGAAAGAAAGAAAGAAAGAAAGAAAGAAAAGAAAGAAAGAAAGAAAGAAAGAGTATATTTTGAAAATAGCGTGTATGGCGGTAATGGCTGCGCAAATATATTTAAATTTGAACCATGACTAAGAAAGCAAAGCCCAAAGCAGACTCAACTAAAACGACCCACGGGTACAAAAGCCTGTACTCTTTTGAAAGGACACAAAACAACATTGATAAATGTAGACTCATGAAACCTGAAAGCGATTCAAGCAATCAACAAGAAAAAAAATGGCGGATATTTATCTGAAGCTCTGACCAGCTATTAGTCAGCATAAGCAAGATTCCCGATTGTAAACTTTGGATGGAACCGAACAAGAAAAAAGCATTATCTTTTGAACAGCGTCCAATTAATAGTCTATATCTACATTATACTTACCTCATTTATTGGCATTTCCAAGAATTTTTCTGGATCAACATTATCCATATTTTCTTCCTGATATCAATACAAGCATGTGCAGACACACAAGTAAAAATTAACATTCATATTAATGGATACACATATACAGATAGATAAAAAGTGTGAAAATAGAAATCAACAGTGCGTGGTGATTGGTAGCTTCATGCCTTAGCCGATCATTAAACCAGGTGTTAAGACAGTCGCCATGCTGTGTTGCTTTCTATATCCACACTGTTTATAGTTACAAACGCTCTATCTACGATAATGAACACTATAAATATAACAAAAATTTTTTAAATAATTTCCTGCTTTTTGGAAATCCTCCCCTGCTGTTCCAGGTGAACTAAGATGAACCGTCTGGCCCCTCGAACTATTGGCCTTCTACCAATTTTTGGTAAACTAGTCGAGACCCAAATCAAATCCGAATTGGTTAAGCATCTCACAACGCAAGTCCTTCTTTCAGACAAGCAATATGGCTTTCGCTTCACAAGGTCAACTGTTGATGTGCCAGCGATTATTGCCGAAAGAGCTTAAGAAAAAATCGGGTGAGTTGCTTCGGACATCTCGAAAGCGTACGACAGGGTTTGACATACTTATCGCGAAATAAAAGTTGTCCTGAACGGCTAGTCGTCTAGATCTTTTTGTGCTAATGCAGGTATCCCCTAGGGCTCTCTGCTTGGACCTACTTTGATCTCAATTTTGATCAACGACTTTCCTGATTACATCAGTTACAAACTTGGTATCAATGCTGATGACACTGACATTTACTCCTGTCTCGATAATAAGTCGACAAGGTTAAATTGGATTATGATCTAAAAAATGACCTACAGTTTGTTGGTAACTGGGGCAAGGAGTGGTTTGTTAATTTTAATGCCGATATATATATATATATATATATATAGAGAGAGAGAGAGAGAGAGAGAGAGAGAGAGACCACATCTCCATTTAAAAACTATAAATGAGTGAAACATTCCGTACCATAGTTATTCCAAAACAACGCTGGATGATGAAACTGCCACCGAGTAGTTATGGTTTAATACTGGAATTAAACTTAAATACTGCTCACCAGTTTCCAAACATAGTCATTTCTGTGTCGCAATGGAATCATATTTTTTTTTTAAATCATTATAATCTAGGCTCTACTTCTGTATCGAGCACTGATTTTTTAAAAAATAAAAACAAAAATACTAAAGAACTTCGGATCAGCAATCTAACAGTTCTTTCCTATTATATCAATACACACACACACACACATATATATATATATATACATATATATATATATATTGTTTATATTTTATTCCAACATCGTTATATATATATATATATATATATATATGTGTGTGTGTGTGTGTGTGTGTGTAAAAGCAAAATTGAGTTACATATATATAAATATATATATATATATGTGTGTGTGTGTGTGTGTGTGCGCGTGTGTGTAAAAGCAAAATTGAGTTACATATATATATATATATATAAATACAGCAATACATATATTTTCGTTGTCCTCTTATTACTAAGAGAAAAAACAAGAACAACATCTATTCCATACCTGAAGATGTCTGTAGGAACAGACGAAAGCTTGTAGTAAAAATAAGAACTAATACGGCAGAAATTTATAGAAACAAGGATCTTTTCATTCATAACGGATTCGGAGGTTTTTGTATATTATTTGAATTGTTTGCGACGATGGATTCCTCGCCAATTAAATCATTAACCTTTGCATTTGTTTTTGTGTGAATAATTCATGAATTTGTAAATTGATTGCACGTTTATCGTAATAAATATATATATATGTGTGTGTGTGTGTGTGTAACAACAAAATTGTCTAATTGTTAGATTAATCTTTGAACTGTTGTATCTTAGAAATGATTAAAGATATCTTGCTGCAATTCTCCGAGGTTTTTATAACACTATTGAACTCTACTTTGAACAATAAGAATGTGTTTAACTTTAAGTTGAAATGTTTATGTCAATTGTAATTATCTATAACAATAAAATATCTGGAACACTTATAGAGTTCTATTTAAGAGCACTAAGAATCTGTAGACACGGTGAAGTAATGGATAGTGGCATGGATTGAGGAATCGGAGAACCGAGTTCGAATTCCAGTCGAATCCATTACATTCACTTACGTTGATTTACGTAGCCTTGGAATATTGTAGAAAAAATGGCAACCTACTGCGGGAAAAAATCTGCCTCGTCTGTCATGTATCGAAAGATACATGATCGCCTAAGCGTATATCACGCATGGCACATAACTGACTGAAGAATCTGCATCAATTTAATTAAATCACACCCAAAAGAGTTTTATGGATATGATCAGAAACAAAAAATACCCATAACAATAATAATTCTGAATATATAGAAATAAATTCAACCACTACTTTGATCTGAAGAATGCCACACTTGTTAAAAAAGAGAATGTAATTAATTTAGACAGAAAATTATCGAGAGTACCGCTATCGGTTCTTATCAAAATATAAATTTGCGCCCTGGATTTTTTCAAATATCTCCATTCATGAAAGAATTACTCCTTTTCCAAGCCAACATACATGACTATAAGATTAAATCCACAATAATTATAGGATTCTATTTAAGAGCACTAAGAATCAGCAGCCCCCAATACTTACCTGAAAAAGAAATATACACAGAAAACACTTTCAAAACTACTAATATCCTTATTATTTCCTCCACAATGCTAAAATAAAGGCATACATAATATACAACCAGAGAAAATAACATTATTAACAACAATCACAATGACAATAAACAAGATAAAAACAGACACACAATACTATCTACTAACTCACTAACATCCACTATCCAAAATAATTTATCCAATCTTAACATCAAAGCAATAACAACCACATCCAAAAGAGTTTTATGGATATGATCAGAAGCAAAAATATCCATAACAATAATATATAGCAGGTATATAAAAAATAAATAGCCATTACTTCTGCTCGAAATACATTGAAGAAATTTACAGAAAGTTTTTTTAAAAAGTATCTATGAACACAAAAGGGATCTTATACACAATAGTTTATCAAATGCATTAGTTAAAAGATATTAAAAGAAGAACCAATATACTTAGAAGGAAAATTCTTGAGAGTGCCCCTATCGAATCTGACTAAAATACAAATCTGCGCCTCGGATTTTCTCAAATATCTCTATTCGAAAAGATTATTACTTTCCCAAGTTAACATACACGACTATATATAAAAATATTGTTAAAAAATTAAAAGAAAACCATTAAATGCATAAACTCATGTTATATAAAATATATAACACATAAATTAATCCCAAACAAAAATAATTTAAATACTAATCTGCATAAAAATTTCATGAACATCTTTTACTGACTTTCGTTTAATAGACATTAAATTATGTCACTTAGCCTCCTCCGTAACTTACAGACTTTTCACTTAAACTGATTAATAATCATAAGATTTTCTTTATTTAAGGTTTGGAAATACTATCAAGATTTATCAACATTTATACCCTTGTCTATATTTGTTAAAAAATAAAATCTTTGCATTAGACTTAATAAAGTCCCTCATAGGACGAAACGAGTTGGCTAAGATAATTTTTCCTTTAGTCTTTATTCATATTGTCGTTTTACAGATATATCTATCTGAAATTTTACACACACACACATATATACACACACACACACACACTACACACACACATATATATATATATATATATATATACATATATAGTAAAGGTAATAAATCTATTGGTATATAATCCAAGTGGATTCTAGTAATATAAAATATTAAAACTAAGATCCACAAAAAGAGCTCAATGTATTTATTATAATTTAATACACAATAAAATCTAAAATCACCTTATATGGGGAATAAGCTTTTTTCGACAGACAAAAATATAATTCGTCAGTCTTATCAATCCCGGTATAGACTTATATTTTCGTCTGTCGAAAAAAGCTTATCTATCTATCTCTACTCCTCTCCCTCTCTCTCTCTCTATCTCTCACCTTTTCCCTC